GAGAGAGAGAGAGAGAGAGAGAGAGAGAGAGAGAGAGAGAAAGAGAGACGTGTTCGTGCATTAACGAATTCAAGGAAATTTATGCGAATACTTTATTAAATGATCGTCTCAATCATTTTTCTTTTGTTACATTATCATGTTAAGAAATAATTGAAATAAATCATTTTATGAATCATTTTATGTTACGTACGTGTGTTTACGTGGATAACAATAAAATGTTTGATTTAACGATCACGAAATTATCGTCGCGAATTATCCAAGGTCGGAGTATTCTGGTATCTGTACAAAAAAAAAAAAAAAAAAAAAGAAAAAAAAAAGAAGAGAAAAAAAGGAAAAAGAAAGAATGAAAGAAGAAAAAATAAAAAAAGAAAAAAATGTCGCCGACTTGAACTCGCCATTTGGCCAACACCGTGATTTTCTTTCAAACAAGTCTCTGTCTCTCTCTCTCTCTCCCTCCCTCTCTCTCTCTCTCTCTCTCTCCTCGAGGGGAAGCCTTTACTATCCTCACATTAACATGTCTCAGTTTTTTGCCGTTATTGAGATTCCAAGAATAAAGACAGTCTCCCTCCAACAGTTGGTGAAACAGGATAATTAGTTCAGACCATAAATGTCAATCTCTCAGTTTATACGAACTCCCCTACTTTCGTTCTCGTGTACCCGATCGAACAACGTACACGACTCAACTCGATTCATTTCGATCGATCATCGGAAAGGTAATTTTTAAGAAAACAAACAATCATTTATTGTCGATTATTATCGATCGTATATGTATACATATATATATATATATAAGAGATGTTTGATATCGATCTATTATTTTATTGATATTAAATGACTGAGAGTATACGAGATAAGATTAAAAAAAGTTGTGCTTATCGTTATTATTAATTTCATTTCCCGGTCTCTTCCGTGTTAAAGTTAATGAACGTACAAAAGAAAGTGTGTGCTCTCGAATGTCTCGAGTTCTACGTGACAGACAAATCGAGTGGCATTATTAAAAGGAATACAGAGCAACGGGCTGCCGTTTTACCGTCAGCGACGGACGACGATTATATTAACGGGAGCGAAGGTCAGGCTAAGAGTATCAGAGGTCGAACCAATTTGGAACGACGTAGCGCGCATTACATGAACATGTATATATATATATATATATATATATATATATACAATGTGTTTGTATGTTTTTGTTGTGTGTGTTTTGTGTGTTTTTGTGTGTGTATTTTTTGTGTTTGTATACGTGCGTGTCTCTCTCTCTCTCTCTCTCTCTCTCTCTCTCTCTCTCTCTCTCTCTCTCTCTCTCTCTCTCTCTCTCTCTTTAAACGTACACTCTCTATCTATCAGTCTATCTCCTCCAATATTTCCTCACCTCATCCTCGAAGTCGATCGTTCGCCAATATTCTCGCTCTCCCCTCGATAGAAAAAGAGAGAGAAAGAGAGAGAGAGAGAGAGAGAGAGAGAGAAGAATCGATATATCGAACGATTTTTATTCGACACGGTCTTGCCGTCCCCCAAGAATAATATTTTATTTAATATCCGCTTTATGGGGCCGAACGTTTCGTAGGTATTCTATCGTTATCAGGAGCGCTTAATAACGGCTATAAAGCATTACGAAAGCGTGGAAATATCCAGACTCGTTGGGAATATCTTCGTAGAGAAAGAGATAGATATATAATACTACGTAGGTATGTATAACCCTCTACGTGTAAGAGTGTACATGCGAGTTAGAGTGAGTGAGTGAGAGTGAGAGAAAGAGAGAGAGAGAGAGAGAGAGAGAGAGAGAGAGAGAGAGAGAGATAGATCGAAAAGCGTCGGTTCAACCCCGTCAAACATTCGAGAGGCCAACCTGCTTTTTCTCTCGTTCCACGCCATTGGCTGCGTGCGAAGTGATTAAAAACATGGGAATGGCTGGCTCTCGCAGTCCGACCAACCCTCTTTTCATTCTCTCTTTCTCTCTCTCTCTCTCTCTCTCTCTCTCTCTCTCTCTCTCTCTCTTTATTTTTCTCTTTTTCGCTAGCAACTCTCTTTCTTTATTTCTCATCTCTGTCTTTCTCTTTTCGTCCACCTAGCAGTAGATGTACGTGGCTCGCGTTTCCTACAGGACTCTCGAAGCTCTGTTTTCGGCTGGGTCTGGTTGGCCACCGCAAATGCCCCAGGGATTTGCTCTGCTCCCAGAGTATTTTATCCCTCTGAGGGATGATGGGGGGAGGGAAAGAGGGAATGTGAGAGAGAGAGAGAGAGAGAGAAATAGATGGATAGAGTGAAACAGGGTGGGGTTACCTGCATATTCGCATTTTCCACGATGCTTCCAGAGGATTTTCTCCACCCTCGAGTCTCTCAAAATAAACCACCCTCTCGCGAGAAAGGGGAGGGAAAACACATTTCTGAGGGGTTCGACCGGTACGACGATTAGCGCTGTTTCTAATGGAGGCAGGGGGAGAAAAAAAGAAAAGAAAAAAAAACAAAAAAAAAAAGAACAAAAGAAGAAAAAATAAGAAGAAGAAAAAAAAAGGGAAAAGAAGTATAAAGGGAATTTCGTGTAAATCCTTTATAAGAATTCGTCTTCTTTTTATTTTTCCTTTCTCTTTTTATTTCCACGTTATAATAATCACAATAATAATAATAATAATAATAATAATAATAATAATAATAATAATAATAATAATAATAACAGATAAATGAAAGAAAAGAGAAATAGGGAAGAAAATAGTAAAAGAAAGAGATGTATATTCGTCTCCTGAAACATTGATACATTCATCGTAATCTTTTTGAATTGGGTTAGGGAAAGTTGTTTTCTAAGTCCCACGTGTTAAATTAGAAAATTTTCGAAAAAGGGACTCGCGGCTCGTCTACGAACTTTTAATGCGTTTCCTTTCCCCGAAGGATTCTCAAGCTGTCCAACGAAGAAGAAGAGGAAGAAGAAGAAGAAGAAGAAGAAACAAAAAAAGAAGAAAAAGAAAAATAAAACGAGGGATAAGAAAAGGAAGAAAAGAGGTTCTTCGCTTCCAACCAGAGGAACTTTCCTTCTCGGATATACGCGTAAACTGTAGGGTGTAAACCACGAAAAGAAAACCGTTCGAGAGAGAGAGAGAAAGAAAGAAAGAGAGAAAGAGAGAGAGAGAGAGAGAGAGAGAGAGAGAGAGAGAGAGAGATAGTAAGAGAAATAAGAGGAAGATAGGAAGAAGCTCTTCGGCGATCTCGCGTGGAAACGATCATCCCACGGGATTTTCTATCGAACCACTAGCATCCCCTTCGACATCGACGTGAGTAACCATGCCAGACCATTATACTGGGAGATACCTTCGACGAATAAGAAAAACAGTTCGATAGTGGGGCCGCCTCTACTTGTTGTGAGAAAAACAAAGACGGAGATGAACTTTTTCTTTTAAATTTCTTGCCACATAAGAGTAAAGAGGAAGAAAAAAAGAAAGAAGGAAAGAGAGAGAAAAAGAGAGAGAGAGAAAGAGAGAAAGAAGAAGAAAGAAAAAGAGATAGATAGATAGATAGATATTTAGAGTAACTCTCTATTGATATATCTCTCTCTCTCTTTCTCCTTTCATATATATATATATTGTACGTGTCTATATACTAGTGTGCGCGTTAGTCTAGATGTTTTAGTGTCTAGAGTTAAGCACGCATCAGCTGCCTGTCGAATTTCTTTTACGAGATGTTTTATATCGTTATCGGGATACGATAGAAGAATGAAGAGAGAGAAAGAGAGAGAGAGAGAGAGAGAGAGAGAGAGAGAGAGAGAGAGAGAGAGAGAGAGAGAGAGAGAGAGAGAGAGAGAGAGAGAGAGAGAGAGGAGAGTAGCGAAAGGTGATCGCCTAGGGATTTTCGATAGTTTAATTCTTTTCTTTCCGTAATGTTCGACCGTATCAAAGTTCCTACCGGGTTAGTCAAGTTCTATCGTGTCTCATCGGGAAATAAGAGAAAAGAAAAATCTCTTCGAATTTCATCGATATAATATTATTCCTCTCTTTTGCTAGCGTAGAACGATAGGATCGAACAGTTTTTTTTTCTTTTTTTTTTTTTTTCCTTTTTTTTTTCCTTCTTCCTCCCATCAAGAGTTATCGATCCACGTTCAACGTGATTATTTTGAATAATCGACGCGTGCGTTTAATTGAGAGCTGCACGTTCGATTGATAGAAGGAGAGACAAATAGTCGGATGAAAAGTAATATCTTCATACGTTATCAATATTTTTAATTGTTTTTATCAATATGTCAATCTTAGAAAACGCATAGAATTATTCGAAGCACGTTATATATATATATATATATATATATATATATATATGTGAAAGTCAAAATGTTTCCTTTATATCGAAAATCGAATTTCATTGGGAAGTTATTATCGCGTAGGAAAAAAAAACAAAAAAAAAAAAAAAAAAAAAGAAAAGAAAGAAGAAAGAAAGAAGAGGATATCAAATAATATAGAATATACGTGCATTGAATTAATTAAAACCCTATCTTGTTTTCTTCTTGATTCAAATCGAAGGATAATAATAGAACAAAATTTAATTAATTAATTTTTATTAATTAATCAATTTTATTAATTAATTAATCAATTATTATTTATATATATATATACAATCGTCGTATTATAAAATGATCGTATTATTATAGAAATAATTCGACGTAAGGAAAAGATGGTTGATGCAAAGTGATGACGAACAACCCTTTTTTATGGGCCGTGAAAAATTCACGTGTTAGATACGCATACATGTCAAGACCTTGAGCGAGGGTCGCGACGATTGTCGGGGACCCCTGATGTAAGAATATCGCATTTGTCAACATCGTTTGTTTTCTGTAAGATGATGATGATTATGATGATGATAAATGATGATCTATTTTGACGTAAAACCGACAAATTAACTATTTACGATGTGTGAATGAAATATAGCGGAGTCAACCGCATTCGAATAGCCTAATATCCGAACGGAATGTTTTTTAGCAACAGATGTTTTCTTCTCTCGTAAATACATATTCGTATGTGTGTGTGTGTGCGTGTGTGTATGTATATATATATATATATGTATACATGGGTACATAGGTGATTATATATACTTTGCTCTCCTCTTGATCATAACGTAATATTTGATTATAACAACGTTAGTAGTAGAACGGTTATATACATTGTGACAATGACAATTAAATGGGAACATAGGAAATTTAATATTAAAAAATTTATTGTTATATTATTCGAATAATTTTTATCTTTATACAACTTTATAGTTTATGGGAGATTCTATTGTATTTGAAAAATTGATACGTCCCAAAGGATTTTATCTTTATTAGAAATAGAAGATTATTAAATTCGATGAGAGAGAGAGATAGAGAGAGAGAGAGAGAGAGAGAGAGAGAGAGAGAGAGATTAAGATGAAAAAGTTTATAAGTTGAGAAACACAAGAAAGAGGATAGAAGATGGATAGAAGATAAGAGTAGAGAATAAAGGTTGATATAAAAGGTCCGGCATTTTGAAATCTCCAGACGAGTCTTCCTCGCTGTTGTTCCATCGCGTTGATGTAAGAAATTACGAGAGGGAATGGACTTATCTAGCTAGACACGTGGTTTTGACAGGACTCGGGAGAAGATACGTATACGTCTTACACGTACGTGCTTCTCCTTCTTCCTCCCTCCCTCCCACCCTTCCTCCCTTCCTTCCTTCCTTCCTACCTTCCTTCCTACCTTCCTTCCGTCCTTCTCCTTCTATCCCTTTCTCATTCCACTCATCTTTATCCTCTCTTATATGAAACGCATCGATGCTCCATTGGGTCCATTTTGTCAGTTCAGATCGCTTTTTCGGATCTTACGTTAAATCTCATGCTTAGTCTTTTTCATATCTGTCAGTTTGTCCGTTCACATTTTGGATCGTTTGTTTTCATCCACAAAAAAAAAAAAGAAAAAAAAAAAAAAAGAAAGAAAAAGAAAGGAGACTGATAAAAAATTTAAGAAGAAAAATAAAGATAATTTTTTTAATATAAATAAATCTTATTTATTAATACCGTTAAATCGTATCTAAGAAGAAGAAGAGGAAGAAGAAAAAGAAGAGAAAAAAAAACAGGAAAAAGAAAAGAAAGAGATAAAAGGAAAATACGAAAATCAATTCTTTTCAATTTTTATTTACGCTCGAAAATATTTTACAAGTACGTTTATTTTTTTTTTTTTTTTTTTTTTTTTTTTTTTTTTGATTTTTTGAAAATTGAAGATCGAACAAAGAAGATTGAAATGAGAAGAAAAAGAAAAGAAAAGTATAAAAAAAAAAGAAATATATTATTAACACTGGGCTCACGCAATGGTAACAAATCGCACGATAACGTTGTTCGTAAGAAAAAGAGATGAATAAAGTCATATTCCTCCCTCGGAAGCCTTCGTGACAGGGTTGTAGACATGTTGTTGACACGCAAGAAAATATCTTCTCTCTCTCTCTCTCTCTCTCTCTCTCTCTCTCTCTCTCTCTCTCTGTCTCTCTTTATTTTTTATATTTTATTTTCGTCTTCTTTTTTTTCCTCCCCCTTTCCTTCCTACCATTTTTTTTCTTTTTTTTGTTTTTTTTTATTACTCTTTCCTACTAACATTCGGATAAAGATCCGACGTTTTAGAATCCGGGCGTTATTAATGGCGATAATGCCGCAATGGTATATCTCTCGGTAACGTAAAACGGACAAGCGACCGATGTACAACGGAAGCTCGTTGCAAATGCGCCATTACGCGCGACGTGTTACACGATTTGCGGTCGTGCCTTATACTGCTTGTTGCAATATAACGTTTCCCTTCTATCTATTCTCTCTCTCTCTCTCTCTCTCTCCTCTCTCTCTCTCTCTCTCTCTCTCGTTCTCTCTCTCTCTCTTTCTTTCTAACGTGAGCATAATTTTCCATAGCGTTTCGTGTCTCAAAAAGACGTCGTTGTTCCTCGCACGAATGACGCACCAAATGATATATTCTTCTTTATTCTTTCTTTTTTCCTTTCTTTCTTCTTTTTTTTTTATATTTTTTTTTTTTTTTTTTTTTTTTTTTTTTGATAACTCTCACATGTTATGTATGTATGTTCGATCGCAATATTACATCATAACAATTAATATAAATATAATATAATGTAATCAATTCAGTACAGTTATTTTTATACACGTGAATTTTATTACGTATTATTTATTTTCTTGTTTTTGATTGTTGATATAATGTATGCGTGTATATATATATATATATATATATATATATATGTATATATACATATAAAAAATTATTTTTTCTCTTTTCTACGAATTTCTAGATAATGAAAAAAAAAAAAAAAAAAAAAAAAAAAAAAAAAAAAAAAAAAAAAAAACAAAAAAAAAAAAAAGAAAATTATATATCAAAGTAATAACGAGATCGGCCTTCGTACGGCCGATAAAAATTCCTTTACATGTTTATTATTCGACTTACGTAATTATGGTAAAAAGTTATTTAAAAATCTGCCCCTCCATCGACTTCTTTTACCATCGTAAAAGTAAGTTGAGTTGAGT